TTGTATCTCAAATGATAGCATCATAATGATTACAGGACATCAGGTTACTTGTTCTTATCACTTAATAATGCAGAGTTCATCATACAGAAATAAAAAATCTGAAGTTGCGCTATTTGAACACCTTGCCTGCCTGCAGCACTAAAGGATCCGCACATCACTACAGAACGCAGTCTTCAGAGATCTCTACGTGAACACTGTGATACATCTGACCTTCAGTCCGAAGCAGAAACCCAAACCAGTCTTAAATGAAAGCACAAGTGAAACTTCTTTTACTCACAAACATATCTTTGATTGTTAAGAATTTATGATCTTGGTGGTGCTTGCATACTGCAATATCACCACATAATATAGTCCAAAAGGTGGAAGTTTGTAAACTTTTTAAAAAATGCAAAGCCGTGTACACTTGTGCACTTCAAAAATTCCTTGTATACTATACCTTCTTGCACGTCTCTGTTTCCTGTGTTGTTAGAAATCAAACTGTAATTTTAGGAAAAATTATGCCAAAAGCACATTTACAATTACTTAAGACCGCTTTTAATTTCATTTCTTTAGACCAAATCCCCTGTACACATATACGGACTCCGAGGATGAGCAGCCTACAAAAAAACGGTTTCCCCAGGCCCCTCGAGTGAAAATACCAGGTAATAAAATAATTTCTTGTGTCTGTGTACATATCTGTGTCTGACACAAGGAAACTTTTTTGACAAGTTGTCTGTATTCTTTCAATAAATTATCTTTTTCTAAACAGCCCTCACCACTCCGCAGTCTGCCCCCCGCCCACTGATAGCAACCATCATAATGCCCCACCCAGCTGCCAGCACCTTTCGCCACTCCGGCACAACACACAAACTGACACAGCTTTGCGATCTCCCCAGCATGCAGAGTCTGATGTCGATGTCTTCCCTATAGATGGTATGCTTTTAAAATTGTTTTAAAGCTGCATCACAATGTCATTGTATTCTTATCTTCAAAACACCGGTTTATACTCCTGAATGTCATCTTGTTGTGATTTCTTTTCTGTAGATTCCAGAGACTCTGTGAGGCCACTATTACAAGGCAAGTTTGAAAATCTTGGAATTTCACAGTTTACATGGTATAACAAATATACGTGACAGGCAAAAACTAGTAAACACTTTTAGCAGTTACAAGAAATAACAAATGAATATCCAACAAAAGGGAATAGAAATACATTGTACTGCAAATACTTTGGTTTATTCTTTGTATGACTTGAAAATCAGGCTTTAGGGAAAACTAAATGACATGTTTCTATCATCAATTGCATGAAGTAAACACACAAGCACTTGCATACACATTTAAGACACCTCCTGGGTGAGGTGCTCCGGGCATGTCCCACCGGGAGGAGACACGCTGAAGAGATTATGTCTTGGCTGGCCTGGGAACGCCTTGGTGTTCCCCTGGACAAGCTAGAGGAGGTGACCAGGGAGAGGGAGGTCTGAGCTTCTCTGCTTGGGCTGCTGCTGCCGCGACCCGGCACCGGGTAAGTGGAAGAAGATGGATGAATGGAAGTGAATATAACTAAACTGACTGCTTACTTGCAGGTTGAAAGAGATGAGCTCTGAGAAGAGGTGATGTGAATCCGTGTTAGCAGAATGGTACAATAGGGCTGACCTGAGTTCCAAAGGTTCGAGGAGTGGTGGTGACAGGAGGGGAGGCAGATGAAGCAGTGAGAGATTTCCAAACGAGACAGTGAATTATCCAGGAGTCTGGAAGGTGGGCTAGAGCCAGAGTGATGAGCCGAGGGGATTTCCAGGTAAGTCTTAAGTCTTCCACGCCTGATTGCCTCCAAACCAGCTCCAGGTGTGGAAAGCTGGTGAGGGGAATCTAAACCGAATTACAGTTGACAAAAAAGCTGCCATTATGTCTTATAAATGTGTTCACTCACTACCTGTAAAAAGTACAGCGATGTTCTGGCAAAAACAGCTACCAGTACTTTACAGTTTTATTTATTTTACAATATTTTAGTATTTTATAATTCAACAAATTTTTACAGTGTGTTGAGATGGATGACTGACAGACTATGATTATAAGAATTATAAATATACCTAAATATAAGTGCTTTCAAAGTGCTTTTTGAAATGTGTGTATGTCTGTATGAACGATGCTTGTAGTACGAAAGTCTTGCTCAGGTGCTCAGGTCGAGCAGAACAGCACTTTGAATGTACCTGTCAAGTTCAGTCCTGACTGAGGACACCTCTGTGTTTGCCATAGAAAGACTGAATACTTTTTGGGGAAATGCAATAATTACTGTGTGTTTTAGAGCATTTTTACCTCCATGTGGAAGAATTTTTCTCACATTGAAAAGTAACTCAATGAGTCACTGAAGCAAAGGATTTCAATAAGCCAAGATGAGGCTCTCAGAAAATATCAAGATAATGAGAAATTTAAATAAGAGAGAAGACTGTAAGAATGTGAGGGAGCAGAAGAGAATCACATTTCCATTAACACCAAGGTCATTTATCCAGCCCCACTCCTCAGCTGCATTCAGAGGGAAACAGCAAATCTCATTTTCTGTGGTTCTCATAAGTGGCGGATCAACCACACTCACTTATCATTCTCTTATGTGCTGTCTGCTCTGTTTTTCATTCTTCTCTGCTTTGTTTTTACTAGTTGCAATGGTCATTGGCGGGGAGTTAATTAGGACACCAGAAGCTGTTGAGCTTTTTCATGCAGTTGTAGTCTTATACAAATAATCCAGTCAGCCCTCTAGTCATGTATATATCCAAGTATCCAACTTGCACATGCTGTTTATTATATGTGAATGAAATGTTTAAAAAATAACTACCGATTTACTGTAATTAAAACCTGCCAATGTAGCGATTTTCATCAAAACCAAAAGGCAATGTATGCTATGGTTTTCAGAATGATCAGTGTGGGTGGCCATTGTTTTTCTGAAATAAGCCACATCTTTGCTTAAAAAACATTTTTTTGGGTTGGCATCTATCATTAAGCATGATACACACACACACCCAGTAACACAGGATAGTCCTGTGCAGTTGTATTGTGAGTCACACCTCACATGGACGTATAGCACATAGCACCTTCATTTTTAAACACACATTGTGAAAGCTTTAGGGTTTAAAACAATGATCATCTCAGTGAAATCCATTCTGTATGTGTTTGGACCTGTTGTTGTGGTTGTTGTTGAGACTGAGACCTGACATTTTTTCTTCTGAGACTGAGACCTGACAACTTTTTTCCTGAGACCTGACGATGTCCTAAAATGTACACCGTACTCTGGTCTCAGTCCGCCTGCACCCACCCCTGGCCCTGGTCACTTGGTCGTTTTAGTGTTGATAATGTTCACGTCTCGGATAGCCTCGGTTAGGGCAATTCCGCTTCCAGTGTCCATGCTTACCACAGGAAAAGCAGGCACCTGGGTCTCCTCCCCGCTGTTGTCGTTGTTGATCGTGTCTTCGATCACGTCTTCCTCCCCAGCCTCGGTAGCGCCAGCTGCCTTTACAGTGGAAGCCACCCCACGGGTTCACTGCAGCCTTGTACAGCGTTAAGGCTGCGTTGTGGAGGTCGGCGCTCTGTTTTTCCTCTTTCTTGCTTTTCCTTTCGTCAAGGTGGTTCTGAGCATGGCGGGCATGGCGTCGTAGTTCCGTTAGCCAAGGTTCATTTTCCCTCCCCACTTGCAAACACCTTACTTTGGCTGCCACATCTGATCTTAGCCCCCGTAAAATATGGCCGCAGAGATGGTGCTCACATGTGGAGGCGGTGACGCCTGTCATGTCGTCCTTCGGTATTCCACCATTAGCTTCAAATACATTTATCATACGATGTATGAAATAATCCACAGATTCGTCCTGGGTTTGCTTGTAAGTCTGACAATATCCATAGTTTTCTTCATGCTCGTAGGTCAGGTGTCTTACCCCGAGCGTAGGGTCAGGCAAATGTGGTGATATTTTCCTCACGTTACATGGTTCCAGCTTGCCTGCTGCTGCGCCTCCAATTTCTTGACCCGTGGGACAATACTCAGGCTGATCTGTGGCAAAGGGCAGGACGTAATATCCATTAGCCCGTGGCGCGCTCCATGTGTGGCTAAGTGCTTGGAGGGCCCCTCTCGGCCCTCTGCCCGGTTTGAGTGTCACTTCTAACGCTTCCTCTTGGCGGAGCTGCCACTCTCCAGCCGCTGAACTGGCGCTGCCGTCTATTGGCGGTGTGTCGTGTGGTGCAGAGCAGGATCGGGAGGGAAAGGAGTCCAGGTCGGCATCGGCTTTCAGGCCCTGCAAAACAGCCTGTACTAGGGCACAAGGAGAAGCACAAACAGTGCGTGAACAGGGAAATGATGTTTTGTTCTCCATGTTATACAGAGGCGGAAGAGGCGCTGAGGCAGATTCTGCATCAGCCTCCCTTCCATGCACTTCTCTAGGCAACTCTTTCAGGGCTGCTTTCTTTTCCCTCCTTTCTGCTTCCATCATCCACATTTTCAAACATTCCTTCTCATCGCTTACCCTACGCAAATCTACAGTGTTAACTTTCCCTTTCTTCAATAATTTTGCTTCCTCCTTCCGCAACTGTTTCAGAGAGGTACAGTTACACGTGTTATTGTCTAAAACTTTATAAGTCAACAGCTCATTTGTTCTAGCTAATGAGGTGTAATATTCATGTCGCAGAAGAGTTTTTATTTCTTTGTAAAAAGGTATTTTAAGTTCACTAGCTTCAGGTCCCTTTTCAGAAAAGAATTATACAGTAAGAATTATACAAAAAGGCTTTTTTCAGAGAACACAGAATGGGTTAACAACCCAGCAGTGGAGGATGATCAAGACTTGAAAGCTGGTGCTACTAATTCCTACAGCTGTTCCAATTTTTCTGGATTTCTTCCCCCTCTGTCTGCATAAAAGCAGTGTTGGAACACACTGTGGTACCATACCCTTGTGAGCATCAGTTGAACAGTATTGTACTGCAGAAAGTAGAGTGTTGCTATAAAAATGGCAAGAAAAAGGGCAATTGACAATGGAAGAGAGACAGACCATCATAAGACGTATAAATGTAGGTCTGTGCTACCGAGAGACTGCAAAGAAAGTTAAGGTGTCAGTGAGGACAGTTTCCTTCAAAGGCTCAGAAACAAACTGACAGGAAGAGGTCTGCAGACCCAAAGACACGACTGAACTGGAGTTTCTGAGAGTTAACAGGCGGCTCACAGGACAACAGCTTCAAGCAGCTTCATAGTGGTCGTAGTGAGCAAGTCTCAGTTTCAGCTGTGAGGAGAAACTTCGAGCTGCAGGTTTGACAGGATGCAGCAAGAAAGCCAGACGTCAGAATAAGACAAAGAGGCTTGTCTGGACATTGAAACACCACCACTGGACTACTGAAGACTGGAAGAAGGTTTTATGGATGATGGGTCAACATTTGAAATCTTTGGTTCATCACGGAGGATCTTTGTACGCCGTGGAGTAGGTGAAAGGTTGGTTCCACAGTGTGTGGCATCAACTGTCAAATGCTGAGAGGAAATGTCTTTCAGTTGACAGTGGATTATAACCCTGCATCACAAAAAGTGGAAAAAGATGTATAAAATGTACACAAAAGCAGAATTTTAAAATGTACAATCATGAAAAAACTGCAATTAATGTCAATATTTTGCTTTAATATCTTTTTAAAATTATAAATATATGCTTAGACTGAATTTGACGGTAGACACATGTTTCTTGCAAACACACTGTCATAAACCTAACCTGACACATTCACCCTGTGAAAGGAGACCCACATAAACAACTGAGCACTAAGGACTATACCCCAGTGTTGCCAGTGCTGCTGACTGGAAACAAGCCATGCCTCCTTTCCAGTACCTACATAAAGGAAGTTGGGGGGGGGAGAGCCGCCAAGACAAAAGTCAACCTTCACTCAGGCAACATGGTGTCATGGTCCTGAGTCGAGCGACCCAGTGTTTTAAGTTTTATGTATCTTTTGTATTCATTTGTGACTAGCTTAGTTCACCTAGTTAATTTCTAGATTGCAGTTTAGTTTTGTTCCTTAGTTGTTTATGTCATCTCCCCCTGTACTAAGTCTCCCTGGTTCATGCGTCATGTCTGCGTGGTTATGTTTAGTTCATGTCCTGTCATGTCTCCATGTTTCCTGTTTTACTTTGAAAGTCTATATTCATTATCAGTGTATTCAGTTTCACTTCTCCTGTCCTGTCGTTAGGTTCATGTGTGTCAGCTGTGCTCCCATGTGTGGACACTTCCCGTGATCATCCCTCATGTGTATTTAGTCTCTGTGTTTCATACAGTCTGTGTCGCGTCGTCTGTGTTCCCACCCTCCATGTTGTCACAGCCAGTCTTTTGTATTCATAGTTATGGTTTCCTGTGTCTTCATAGTTTATCCTGGTATCACTTTCCCAGTTTAGTTATAGTTTAGTTTTGTCACTGCGCTTCTGCCTTGTTTGCACTCCTTGTCTTCAGCCACAATAAAGGCTCGCTTTTCGTTCGAACTCAGTTTCGTGTCCACGCCTGTGTCTGCACCTGAGTCCTCTACACACTCTCCACACGGTCTGCCATTGCGACCGTGACAGAGCGGGTCGCGGGGGCAGCAGCCTAAGCAAAGAGGCCCAGACCTCCCTCTCCCCAGCCACCTCCTCCAGCTTGTCCGGGGGAATACCAAGGCGTTCCCAGGCCAGCCGAGAGATATAATCTCTCCAGCGTGTCCTGGGTCTGCCCCGGGGCCTCCTCCCGGTGGGACATGCCTGGAACACCTCGCCCAGGAGGCGCCCAGGGGGCATCCTTGCCAGATGCCCGAACCACCTCAGCTGGCTCCTTTCGATGTGGAGCAGCAGCTGCTCTACTCTGAGCCCCTCCCGGATGGCCGAACTTCTCACCCTATCTCTAAGGGAGAGGCCAGCCACCCTTCGGAGGAAGCTCATTTCCGCCGCTTGTATCCGCGATCTCGTTCTTTCGGTCACTACCCACAGCTCGTGGCCATAGGTGAGGGTAGGGACGTAGATCGACCGGTAAATTGAGAGCTTCGCTTTTACACTCAGCTCCCTCTTCACCACGACGGACCGGTGCAGCGTCCGCATTACTGCAGCTGCAGCCCCAATCCGTCTGTCGATCTCCGGCTCCCTTCTCCCATCACTCGCGAACAAGACCCCGAGATACTTGAACTCCTCCACTTGGGGCAGGAACTCATCCCCGACCCGGAGTGGGCACTCCACCCTTTTCCGGCTGAGAACCATGGCCTCAGATTTGGAGGTGCTGATCCTCATTCCCGCTGCTTCACACTCGGCTGCGAACCGTTCCAGTGCGAGCTGGAGGCCCTCACCCGATGAAGCCAACAGAACCACATCATCTGCAAAAATCAGAGATGAGATTCTGAGGCCACCAAAGCGAAAGCCCTCCGCCACTTGGCTGCGCCTAGAAATCCTGTCCATAAAAATTATGAACAGAACCGGAGACAAAGGGCAGCCCTGGCGAAGCCCATCACCCACCGGGAACGAGTCCGACTTATTGCCGGCAATGCGAACCAAGCTCTTGCAACGGTTGTATAGGGATCGAATGGCCCGTAGCAATGGGCCAGACACCCCATGCTAATTGAAAATATCACCAATAATATAGATCAAAGACAATGCACAGTTGGTGTTTTCATTGACCTAAAAAAAGTTTTTGACACAATTAGTCATGAAATATTACTTGATAAACTGGAGCACTACGGCATTAGAGGAGTGGTGCTAGAGTGAGTCACGAGTTATTTGAGAGACAGGCAACAATTTGTGAAGCTTGGTGAATATCAATCAGAGTGCCTGGACATTGTTTGTGGAGTTCCACAGGGGTCAGTATTGCACTGAAAAAAAGGCCATGTTTGATTTACTTGATTCAATGGACTACTTGCACTAACACTTCCGCGTTCTATGTAGTCCTGCCCCAGTGCTTCCGGTGCGGTTAAACCATGGCGACGTTCTACACTCGCTGCCTACAAGAGCTCCCAAAATTGAACATCACCGATGTTCATCGGATTTGCAGAGTGACGACTACCCCCGCCAGCAAATTAGATAAAGGATTTAAGTTATATGCTGCATCATATATACACAACTACGAAGGTAAGAAAACGTAAATTAACCGACAAAGAAACGCTAGCTAACGTCAAATGCAAACACTACGTTACTCCGCTATGACTACACTCTGAAGTCTCACTGTCTGCCTTAGTGCAGCTGCTGTTGGGCCTTCTTGATGACCGCTGAGATGTTGTCTGTCCAGGAGATGTCAGCAGAGATGAGGACACCAAGGAACCGGAAGTATGTCTGTGAAGGTTCTCAGTCATCCAGGTCATCGTAGTCAAAGGAGCTTGCAAAGAAAAGCGTCTGGACTTCTTTAAGTTGCTTGAAGACGTTTCACCTCTCATCCGAGAAGCTTCTTCAGTTCTAAGGTCAAATGGTGGAGAGTCCCAGATATAAACCTAGTGGGAGTCCCCCCACAGAGGGACAAAAGACCCCTGATGATCCTCTAATCGCCTGAGCCAAGGTGTGAAACTGGGTGTGGGTCCCAATCAGCCAGAGTTTCGGGTGAGTTCATTGTGAAACCTGGCCCCACCTTATCAGTGCGAATTCCTGAGGTCAGATGGCCCAGGATGTGAGTGGGCGTTAAGGCGTCTGGGAAGGATCTCAAAACTGGATTATAGATGGCAGAGAGTTGGTGTCGTAAGCCCCGCCTCTGTTCAAAGATGGTCGCTCACAGTGGACATAGATGCTTCTTTCACTCCTCTTTCAAACCATCTGTCCTCTCTGTCCAAAATGTGAACATTGGCATCCTCAAAGAGTGACCTTTGACCTTTAGATGCAGATGGACAGTCCTTTTGTCCCTCTGTGGGGGGATACTCCCACTAGGTTTATATCTGGGACTCTCCACCATTTGACCTTAGAACTGAAGAAGCTTCTCGGATGAGAGGTGAAACGTCTTCAAGCAACTTAAAGAAGTCCAGACGCTTTTCTTTGCAAGCTCCTTTGACTAATATCACTTTTGTAGTTAGACACTGTTATAATGGCGTTAGGTAGTTGGCTAACTATGGAGGTAGTTAACTACCTAATGCTACTCTTGCTAAGTGTAAAATATATATGTTTAAGACATGCTGAAATGAGTAATACAGAAATAATGCTAATGGTACTTGTATCTTTATTCAGTGTCCAATAAAGACAGGTTGTCAGGGGAGGTCGGTGTGAGAGCCCTGTGCTACAGGTCAATGAGGAAGAGTGAGGCACCACACAGACTAAGTGTAGGCAGGAAGCTGTGTAAAGTTGTTAATCCCCGTTCAGTGGGGTTCAGTTCATTTAAGCATTAGTTAAGTTCATTCCTAAAGGCCCATCAACTTGAATGTTTTCCTTGTCTCCCTGCTTTATCACTCCTAATTTGACTAGTCAGATAGTTAAATCAACGTGTGTTTGGGTGATCAGAAACATTTGACAACAAGTTAATACTGCAAATATACACAATCTAAGTTATTACAGTTATCAAGCATGGTTAAGTTGTTTTAATAGGGAGAGAAGGAAACACTAAGCATTCAGGAGGGTGCGTAACCATAACACTGAACTATGTTCCTGTTCGGCTCTTCCATGAAGATGTTACATTTTTAATTTTCGTTCTTTCTTCTTAGATTAAGCTTCTGGATTCATCGCCGGTGATACTGACACATAGCCAGTGCTCCTGTGTGGCAGGCGCTGTTATGTGCAATCACACAGTGGCACTGCTCTTCCAAACAGCACACTACTCACAACTCAGAGTGCCGGTTGTCCCCCCTGTGCATAGCTGCACGGAATCTGAACAGCAATGGCACAAGCCACGGACAGTGGTAATTTAAATGAGGTTAAAGTTTTTGAATTAGTCCATGTTTACATATGAACAGCAACACCATCCATAGTAAATGTGTCTTCTGTTAGGGTGTGAGGCCAGGACCCATCAACTCCATGATCTTCACTAAGCCGGTACCAAATAGAATGGCCCAGACTGGAGTACGGTAATTAGATTTGTAAAATTTGGTTTCATGTGTTACAAATGTATGTTGCTATTTGTTCATACATACATGTGTCAGAATAGGTATTAATTTACATACAACATTACACTTTCTGAAGACGGCTAACTCAGTCATGTACATATACATCCCAGTCTCTAACTTATGCACCACTGTTTTACACCTTTTAGTTTTTAGTTTAGTTGTTGTTCAGTATAACAACCTTCTTCCTTACATTATTGTCATTGATGTTTTCTTTAGGAGTGGCTTCTACAGAGGCATGGTGGGTCCGTTACCAGATCCCTGCTTGTTCAGAATAACGGAGGCATATGCAAAATTTAATATTGAGGACAGGCCACTTGTGACCACAATGAACATGAGACCTGACAAGCCCCTTGTGGAAAGTGCCTTTGGGCTGGTGCAGGAGGGCAGTGTTCTGTCATATCAGCAGCCGGTTTTGACAACCCGGTACATCACACTACACCGCGATGCACCACCAACACCGCACTTGCCTCTGGAGGGGTATGACATCTTGCCATCAGATTGTGTGTTTGTGTGCTCAGAAGAAGAGCTTCTGCATCTGAAAAGCTTGTCTGTAACTCTGGAAATGGCTCACAAAATAGAGGAAGCTACACGTGAGCAAAGCTCTTCGTCTGAGTGGCATCAGCTCCGCAGGCCCAGAGTGACTGCCTCTAGGTTTCGGGAGGTGTGTCACGTCAGAGGCCAGAGCTCGGCCGAGTCACTAGCAGAGCGTATATTGAAGGGAACAAGGCAGACAGCAGACATGAGGAGAGGAACTGAGATGGAGCCTGCAATAGCAGCAGAGTATAGTAGGCTAATGAATGTTAACTACTCACCCTGTGGTCTGGTCATTCACCCCATTGCCCCCTGGCTTGCTGCATCTCCTGATGGTGTTGTTTTTGACCCCAATGAATACCCCCAGTTTGGCTTCGTCGAATTCAAATGTCCCAATGTACAAAACTTTATTGACTGCAAATATGTGCAGATGGAATGTGGTACCCCTAAACTAAAAAAGAGCCACGCATATTACTGGCAAGTGCAAGGACAACTGCTCATCAGTGGGATGCAGTGGTGTGACTTTGTTGTGTGGGCACAAGAGGACTACCTAGTGCAAAGAATATACATGGATACAGATGTGCACAATGCAATCAGAGAAAAGGCAGACTATTTTTTTTTTTACATATATATGCCAAGATACCTGTGTTTGAAAAAATGAACAGTGAAAACATAGCAAAAAGAAAAACAGATCCTTCAGGCTGGCTGGAACAAAATAACTGATGTTTTATTTTCAATATATTTCATGAATTCTTTTGTTGTTACATGTTACCTTTATGTGACATCAATAAACTGTTATTTAAGCAATGGCATCAATTTAATTTTTAAAAACACACATTAAAACGTTGAATTTGTGCAGAACTTATTTACATGGTAAGTATTTAAAACTCCATGCCTAGCATACTGATATACATTTAGACAATAACACAACTGAACTGTAGAAAATGACAAATGGTATTTTTGATGTTCCAAAAGCTCAATGTCACTTATGATTTTAAAACGATTTAGTGATTTACTTTATAATTTTGATAAACAGTTTTGTTGAATCTGAATAGTAATATAGTAGTATAATTAAACAGTATTATTAACATTAAACATTTGCAATGAATTTGAATTATCAATAACTGAAACTCAACTATCAGCACTCAAGTACCAGTTCTGTAATCAAGTATTGTCAGCTGAGAAGGAAGAAATGCAACTGTAGTGGCCTCAGCTGCAGGTCATTTTCCATAAGTTACTACTGGCACTGGTGTCTTGGGAAAAATCCATCTTGTCTCACTTAACCCATTTTTTAACTAATGCTGTGTTCTGGTAATTTGACAGCATACATGCCACTGCAAACAGTTGGTTGATATTATAAACATGTGACATGGTAATGATGCTATCAAAAAGTTTGTTCTGTTTGATCCTCCTAATGACTCGCTCCACATGTACCCTGAGTCTGGCTATGGCCTGCGTCTCCTTAACCTGGTATGCTGGCATCTGCTTCTGCTTAGATAGAAAAGGTGGGCAGTACACTTTGCATTTACAACAATCAGTGATTAGGAAGCCCTTATCTACCATCACTGCCATGTCTTCAGTCAACTTCTCAGCAATGCCTGATTGTTTGAATAGTTCCTTGTCACTAACCGAACCAGCATACAGATTAGAGATGAATGTCACTGGACCATGTGGAGCTATGCCAACCAGGGCTTTCATCGTACAGTGGGATTTGTACGAAGAGTACATTTCACTTTGGAGAAGTGGTGAGGATGGTGTCTGACACCTCAGCTCTGTACAGTCAAGGATCATCTGGGTGTCTGAGAAATCTTTGAATTCCTCAGGGAGGTAAGCTTGCACTTCTTCACGTGTAAGCCAGATGCATTGAGACCCCAGTGCAGTGGCAAGAAAATTTGTCCATGTTGCAATAATGCGGCTCACTGTGGACTGGTGTATGTTAAATCGGTGTGCCAGGTCCCTCTCCTTCAAACCAACTGACAGGAAAACCAGGAAAAGAAAAACTCGTCAATTGGCTGTAGCAGCTGCCTCTGGAAGGTGAAAACAAAAGGGAAAATGTTACTCCTTAAGCTATGAACTAGTAAAATTATGCTTTTCTTGGCTAAATGTTTTGTAATGGTTATGGCATACCATACTGTACCATGGGGTAAACAATGAGGTGCTGTAGTACACAGGTGTATGTATGTAAAAGTGTCAGACGTTGTGAGGCGAGGAAGAAGGAACCCAAACGCAGGACTCGCAGGTGGGTGAAGACTGGTGAGGATTTATTATAAGGAGTGGATGAACAGAGGGTGAACGGACACTGACTGGCTGAACAACTGAACGGCTGACTGCACTGAGGGAACACACGGGAAGGACAACATAACATCAACATCAATGACACGACAGAGAACTGGTGAAACCGAGGACCTTAAATACACAGGTTGAATGATGACAATGATTGGAAACAGGTGAGTACAGGGCTGAACATAATCTGACTAATGACACGGAAGACAAGCTGACACGGGGAAAAAACAGGAAGTGAGAACATTAATGTGGCGAACTAAACTGAACATGAACAAACTGAAATCACTGGGTCAACGACCCAGGAACCCTGACAGTACCCCCCCCCTTCAAAGGCCGGCACCCGACGGCCAAACGAAAAAGAACCAGAACAGGGCGGGCGGAGGGGGCCCAGGACGGAGGGACGGAGGCCACACAGAGACAGTTCAGGTGGGTGGCCACGTGGCCCGAGGCAGAGACGAGACTGTTCCGGTGGACCGACCGTGCGGAAGGCAACGGCGGCGACGTGGACACAGTTCGGGAGGCCGGCCGTGCGGAAGGCAACGGCGGCCGCTCAGGCAAAGGCGGTCCGGGGGCCGGCCGTGCGGAAGGCAACGGCGGCCGCTCAGGCAAAGGCGGTCCGGGGGCCGGCCGTGCGGAAGGCAACGGCGACGTGGACACAGTTCGGGAGGCCGGCCGTGCGGAAGGCAACGGCGGCCACTCAGGCGAAAGGCGGTCCGGGGGCCGGCCGTGCGGAAGGCAACGGCGGCCACTCAGGCAAAGGCGGTCCGGGGGCCGGCCGTGCGGAAGGCAACGGCGGCCACTCAGGCAAAGGCGGTCCGGGGGCCGGCCGTGCGGAAGGCAACGGCGGCCACTCAGGCAAAGGCGGTCCGGGGGCCGGCCGCGCGGAAGGCAACGGCGGCGGCGAAGGAGACGACGGAGCAGTTCAGGGGGCCGGCCGCGCGGAAGGCAGCGGAAGGCAGCGGCGGCGGCGAAGGAGACGACGGAGCAGTTCAGGGGGCCGGCCGCGCGGAAGGCAGCGGCGGCTCTCCAGTGTTAGGCGTGCTGGCCATGGCCCGGTGGGCACAGGACCAGACGAGGCAGGACCAGGTGACGACGGGGCCGGACCAGGCGAAGCACAAGCTGGAGCTGCAGCAGGCGAAGCACAAGCCAAAGTCGAGGCTGGGCCAGACGAGGACGAAGGCTCTGAGGCTGGGCCAGACGAGGACGAAGGCTCTGAGGCTGGGCCAGACGAGGACGAAGGCTCTGAGGCTGGGCCAGACGAGGACGAAGGCTCTGAGGCTGGGCCGGGCGTGGGTGCAGCAGCTGAGGCAGAGGCCGGGCCGGGCGTGGGTGCAGCAGCTGAGGCAGAGGCAGAGGCCGGGCCGGGCGTGGGTGCAGCAGCTGAGGCAGAGGCCGGGCCGGGCGAAGTTGAAGCCTCTGGCTGGAGACAGGCAGGGCCAGTAGGCGTGGAAGCCTCTGGCTGGGGACAGGCAGGGCCAGCGGGTGCGGAAACCCCTGGCTGAGGAGCGGCCGGGCCAGCGGGTGCGGAAACCCCTGGCTGAGGAGCGGCCGGGCCAGCGGGTGCGGAAACCCCTGGCTGAGGAGCGGGAGAGCTCACAGCTGGCTCTGGGTGCTGTGGCTGCAGGTCCGGGAACTGAACGGGATGGTGGACAGGCGACTGGGAAACAGGAGGCGACTGGACTACAGGGCACTGGGCGGCAGACTGGACTACAGAAGAGTGAACGACAGACTGGACAGGCTGGAGTACGGGCGACTGGGGGACAGGAGCAGACTGGACTGACTGGACAGGGGACTGAGCTACAGGTGACTGGACAGGAGCAGACTGAGCTACAGGTGACTGGACAGGAGCAGCCTGAGCTACAGGTGACTGGACAGGATCTGAGCTACGGGTGGACAGGGAGACTGACTACGGGACTGGACAGACTGAGCAGCAGGTGAGGAACTGACGGAGGAAGCTGAGCAGCAGTGAGGGAACTGACTGGCTGAAGCTGAACAGCAGGTGAGGGAACTGACTGGAGTGAAAGCTGAACAGCAGGTGAGGGAACTGACTGGAGTGAAAGCTGAACAGCAGGTGAGGGAACTGACTGGAGTGGAGATGCTAAGGGATGAACAGAGGTAGGCGAGGCTGACGACGGAGCTGAGGTTGGTGTGGCTAATGGCTGAGCTACAGACTGAGCTAGTGACGGAGATAAAGCTACAGCCTGGGCTAGTAAAGCTGGTGCCTGAGCAGGGGACACTTCAGCCAGCCTAACCAGGGATAAAGCTAGTGCGTGAAAGGCTGGATCAGGTGGTGGATGAAGTGGTGGACTGATTGGCTCTTCCGTGCCTCCAGAGCGTGAGGGCACTGGCTGGAGAGCCTCAGCTGAGTCTCTAGGGGGGTCAGGCCGGATCCTGGCCGCCCTCAGCCTAGGTGCTGGGACAGGCACGGGAGGTGGCTGGACACCAGTCACCCCCACCCGAGGAACAGAAGTGGGTGTGGAGGTATACGGGGTCACAGCTGCCCTCGTCCTGGGAGCGGGCACAGGTGTGGGTGTCGGCTGACTGACAGGAGTGGAAATGATGACTGGGTGAGTGATACTGACAGGTCTATCTGGATTTATTCTGGTCCTTCTGCCACCACTATTTACAGTCTTTGACTGAACAGTCTTTGGGGGAGCAGAGCAGAAAAAATCTTCCCAGTCCACTTCATCCTCTAGGAGGGAAACATCCCATGAATCAGAGATGGGCTTATTATTGGTTTGAAGTGGTGAGTCGAATGAGGGTGGAAAACAGTCGCTGGAACTCACCATCGGGAATTGCTGAAAACAGTCCATTTTATGGCGGCGTGCGCGCCGCTTTCTCTGGGAAGAGGAAGCAGCCGGGATAAACAGCTGAGCCTCTGGCGCGGTAGCCTCCGTTGAGCCAAGGTGGGAGGCGTAGCCGTTGTGCCGTGGCGATGGTGGAGGTCCGGCGAATGAGGCGGCGGGTGTGTGTGCGAGGAGCGGAGTGGCGAGAGAGGGAGCGGCCGAAGCGCGGCGTGAAACGTCCACTCTCCGCGGCAGATGCTCCGGTGCAGGTGAGGCAGCAGGTGGGGGAACGCGGCGTCTCCGAGGCCCGCCCAGAGCCAAGCGAGTGCCCTCGAAGACGTGCTCTCGCTCCGCGAAGAGCCGCTGTCTCTCCTTGAGCTTTTCCGCCCACAAGGAGAGCGCTACCTCCTGCCGCTCATAGAGGTCCGAGTCCGCTGGGTTCCAAACGTGTCTTCGTGGCACGGGTCGTGTCATTCTGTCAGACGTTGTGAGGCGAGGAAGAAGGAACCCAAACGCAGGACTCGCAGGTGGGTGAAGACTGGTGAGGATTTATTATAAGGAGTGGATGAACAGAGGGTGAACGGACACTGACTGGCTGAACAACTGAACGGCTGACTGCACTGAGGGAACACACGGGAAGGACAATA